CCCGATGTGGGGCTCAAACTCACAAACCACGACATCATGACCTGAGCCGAAGTCGGATGCTTAACTGACTGGGCCACCCTGGTGCCCCTCTTAAACACTTTAATTGCTTAGATACCAAATACATACAGATTATCTCAGTAATATTGATTATGTCAGTAATGACACTCATTTCTAAACTTAACACAAAAGTATTAATAGCATAAGTCTGATTTACTTCATTGTTTCTATGCTTAAGTCAAAGAGAACTCTAGGTCCAAAGGGCTTCACTGAACAAGTTCTACCAAATACTTAAGGAAGGTATCCAAGGTTTTTTTTTTTGTTTTTTTTTTTTAAATAGATTCCCCATATAAGTGAGATAATACAGTATTTGTCTTTCTCTGTTTGACTTACTTCACTTAGTATAATGACCTCAAGGTCCATCCACATTGTGGCAAATGGCAGGATTTTTCTTCTTTTTTATGACCTAATAATATTTCATGTATGTATGTATGTATGTATGTATGTATATACAAACACATATACCACAATTTCTTTACCCATTTCATCCATTGATGGATACTTAGGATTGTTTCCATATCTTGGTTTCCATACATGAGGGCACAGACAGCTTTTTGTTAGTGATTATTTCCTTCAGATGAATACCCAGAAGAACTGCTGGAACATATGGTAGCTATATTTTTAATTTTTTGAGGAACCTCCATACTATTTTCCATAGTGGCTGCACCAACTTATATTCCCACCAACAATGCACAAGAGTTTCTTTTTCCCTGTATCCTCACCAACATTTATTATTTCTTGTTTGCCACAGTTATTAAAACTAGCCAATCCTAAACTGTTACTCTACCCTGATTTACCTTTCTTGCAGAAACACCAATAATGGCTTTTGCCTAGCCTTTCCTCTTGCTCTTGTTTCTGCCTCCTGACCAAAACCTGAAGCTTTCTCCATGCCCTGGTGTGCCCCCTTCTTTCAGGAACTAGAAGTAAAAAAATTTCTTTCAATAGCATTAGCCTCTCCATGTTATGACTCAGTCATCTCCATAAATTAAAAGCCTGTAGGTACAAATGAGACAACTATAAAATAACAATAACAAAAAGATTAATGAAATGGAGAAGATTCTGGGGGAAAAAAAGCCAGATAAGCTGAGTTTTGACAGATCTTAACCCAAAGTTTAAATGCACTCAATCATTTTAGAAGATACATAAATAGAAATTAGAGAAGGTAAAGTTAAATAAGGAATCTGCTGAGCCACATAAGAAACCAAAATACCTGAACTTTTCTTTTGATGGTGGCAACAGTGAACATTGCATGGTGCTTGATGCAAATGCAGATTTGGAGGTGCTAACAGGACAGCACAAGCACTCACATATGCTTTACCTCCTCTATCAGGAAAGGATATAATCTCAAATCAAGCACAAGCTTGGGAACGAGCAATGGTGCAGCCATTTTGGAAAATAAGCTGGCAATATCTAATAAAGTTAAACATAGGCTTACCATACAATACAGCAATTATGTTCTTAGGTATTCACCCCATTGAGTTGAAAACTTATGTCCATCCAAAACCTGCAAGTGAATTTTTTTTATAGTTTATTTATTTTATTTTGAGAGACAGAACGTGCTTGAGCAGGGTAGAGGCAGAGAGATAGGGAGAGAGAGAGAGAATCCCAAGCAGGCTCCGCGCAGAGCCCTGACATGGGCTGTGAGATTATGACCTCGGCCAAAATCAAGAGTGGGATGCTCAATTGACTGAGTCACCCAGGTGCTCCGGACCTGCATATGAATGTTTAAAGCAGCTTTACTTACAGTTGCTAAAAACTGGAAAGAATCAAGCTGTCCTTCAATAGGTGAATGGATCAACAAACTGGTACATTCATGAATGAAGTATTATCCAATAATAAAAATAAATGTTATTAAGCCACAAAAAGAAACTGTCTAGACCATATTGCTAAATGAAAAGAAGATGGTCTGAAAAGGCTACATACTCTATGAATCCAACTAAAGGACATTCTGGAAAAGATAAAAGTATAGGAACAGTAAAAATATTAGTGTTACCAGGGGTGGATGGGGTGGGGGAAAGTGGGATGGAGAAAGGAATGAATTGATAGAGCATAGGGGGGACTTTTAGGGCAGTGAAACTATTTGTTATGATAATGGTGATATATGATATTATACATTTGTCAAAACCCATACAATTGTTATTATACCAAGAGTGAACCTTCATGTAAACTGTGGAACTTTATCAATATTGGCTTGTTAATTGTACCAAATGTAGCACACTAATATAAAATGTTAACAATAGGGAAAACTATGTGGAAGAGGTGGTATGAAAGAAGTTCTTTGCTCAACTTTTCTGTAAAACTCAAACTACTATAAAAATAAAAGTCTATTAATAAAAAGGGGGGAAGAATGAGGAGTCTACAAACACAAAAAACAGCTCAGATGTTGCCACTCAGAATGAATGATAAATGTCTATTATACCTTCCCTAAAAATAATACTAGTAGCAATGATGTTAAGGTGGGATTCCTTCTAGTATGATTCATGAGCCAAAAGGCCTACTTTGTAACATGACATACTACCAAATACAGAAGCAGAAAATATTGATGAAGGGCCAACTATAAAATTAATTTGCTCTCAAGAGGTGGAACAGAAATCATCCCATTATATATTCCCAAGAAATAGTGTAATATTTCCCCCAAAAAGTCAAGACAAGGGATACTCTGTTATTGTGAATTTTTAACATCATGCATGTACACGACACTTTCCTCTGTCAAGAACTGTCTTTTAGTTTGCTTCTCTACCACCAGGCACCAACCAGGTGGTATCACATATCCATAGGTAAGCTCTAACTTGGCCATGCTTGGCACACCAATCAGTTCCTGAGTTAAGACAAAGAAATGCCTGTTGTCAACTTTACTAAACTCCCATCTCTGTTACCTACTTTTGTTCAGTTTCTTACATTCTACCACAGCTATTAGTGCACTCTCTTTAGTATATATCTTTCATAACTATCCCTTAGTTTTTTGATCCACTGCTCACTATAACTATCTCTATTGATTTAAGTCCTGACTGGCATGTCTACGGAGTTTCCTCAGTCTTTTAAACATTTATTGAGTGCTTCAATTCAGATTCAGCAAACATTTACTGAGCTCCTTCAGGCTCATTTCACCCTCATAGTTACAGCCACTCTAAGAAGCAATCTATTATTACCTCCACTTTATAGAGAAGCAAACACACCCAGAGAAGTTAAATAACTTGTCTTAGGTCACCCAAATCTAAATCTATCAGTCAAGTACAGTGCTCCTTCTACTCATCTCTTTCTCCCTAGCAAATTACAATACTCTGTTAGTTCGAATTTAAGGCTTAACTCTACCTCCTGAAACCTGTTTTTCAAACTCTCCCTAAAAACACATCCCCTAGATCCACTAATTCCCAAACCAACCCTTCAAGTCCTGCTCTAGTTGATTCTTCTATTCCCAGCTCCTTTCTCTATACCCAACTACACCACTACTGTAACAGGCTAGATAGTGCCCTCAAGATTTCAAGAAAAATTCTACCAATAGAATCTCCTTTTTGGAGAAGTCAAGAGCATCATAGTCTTGTTTCGGCCTATTGTCTTCCCCTTTACAGACTATACACTATAGCAACTATGTCAATGAATTGTAATTAACTGCTTAATAGATTCTTTTATATATTAAGTTATAAAAAACTTGAAACCAATGACTGGCCTGAAGAAATACTGATAACTGAAGATACTCTCAAAGCCCCAAAGTAAATGGATATCTGCCACATCCATTATTTTTGCAGGAAAAAAAAAAATATCTTAACAGACTTAACTTTGACCATGAAAATCAAACTTAGTGAAATGAACTTTCTGCTAAAAGCCATCTGAGTATATGTGAAAATTAAAACCAAGATATACTTTTCACGAATTTTTATACAAACCAGAAAAATTCAGAACCCAAGTCAATTGCTCTTGATTTTTCAATAGCAAGGTTAACAAAGTAGCTTCTTATCTCGAAAGCAAATCTTAATTGTCCACTACAGATACTAAGTTTGTAAATTAACAAAATGTGACTATTATTTTCTTAATCTCCCAAGGAAGCAGAAGGAGTAATGGTTAGGATCAAAAGCTTTGTGTGATCTTGAGACTGTCTAAAATTCATTTGGTTCAACCTACCTACCTCTTGGGATTATTGAAAGAATAAGATGATAAAGTTCTTAGTGCAGTGTCTTTTACACGGTGAGCACTCAAAATGTTCCTTCTCCTTATTTATTATGTCATGTCCTTCATCTTTGTTTCCCCACCTGTAATATTAAAATCCCTACCATACAAGGCAGTTGTGAGAATTAAACATATTGCTTGGTGCAAGCTTGGTACTTATGAAAGCCCATCACTCCCAACTGTTTAGCATTACTGGGGAATCACAAGTCAAAAAATTAGAAAACTTATAAAGCCCTGGGTTGGGGAAAAAATACACCAGCTCTCAGGAATTATGTATTTGCTTTTGCGTGGGGGGAGTCTGGTGAGAAGAGAAGAGCAGGAAGAAAAAGAAGATACAGTTTTATAATTATATGATGTAGACAATCATTTAATCACATAATTAAGTTATGATTTCATAATGATTTGAAGTAATGATTTATAATAATCATTAAAATGCAAGGCTAAACTTAGTTAAAAAACAATCAGGGACTAATACATTGTCTAAACTAAAACAAAAACAACTTCAGTGGCAACTAAATATACACACAAGAAATTTAAACATTAATTAGAATAATAAATAAAAAAATAAAGAATTTAAACATTAATTAGAAGCAACTTCAAAAACAGTGTCATTATTTCATTGTCTTATGAAACCAAAACACCATTTTGAACTGGAGTTTAAGATCCAAATTAACAGGAACCCACTATTGTGAAGTTTCATTCTGTTTTAAATTTTGCATTCTTCTGAAAGAAATACATGCATACTAGACATAAGGAAATAAACATTTCAGTGTCCTTACCTGTTGTGTTCCATCTGCACTTACAATAGGGGCAGACAGAAGAGAAATATCACTACTTAAAATCTGAGCTGTATCCAGTAGGGGTGGATGTTCTGCCATTATCAATAAGACATTAATATACTGGATAACCTTCCAATTCTGAAAAACAAAAATATGTAGCCATCAGTGTGTACATCCTCAAAAATATATTAAAATATAATACATTCAAGATTTATCTCATTCTTTAACCTAAAAAGATATTCTTGTCAAAGGAAATTTTGTAATACTCTTGTTAACTACTTTTTTCTGTCAATAGACCACTTAAAGAAATACATTTCTTACAACTTAACCAACTGTATGTCAATGTAAACAGTATAAACTAAGATATAGTCAAACCAATACATGAGAAGCTTCTATTTAAATTCCATGTCTGTGTCTCTATCCCTTCCATCTCTACACCATGTTTATTTAACCACCATTATTCTAATGAAATACTAGATAATAATTAGTATGGCACAGGCACTAAAATGCAAAGACTGTAGGAGCAATTCTACCACTAATTTTTTTCTATAAGCAGAGAAGGTGATTTTGAAGACACAATTCCCCCACCCCATCCTAGGAACTACACAAGAATTATGATTTGTCACTAATTCCTCAGAGAAAAATGGTAGAAAATTTTGCTGAGGATTAGAATAAAAACCTTCAAGTTTTAAGCTTTAAACTCTGACACTGGTCTTCTGTCATTCTGGTTTTATTATTCTTTTGTAGGTGACACTTACTTTATAATAAGCCAAATCAGTGATGTCAGTGATGAAAAGCACATACATTTAGAAATCTTTAACTGCAGACATAGTATCACTTATATAAAAAGTAAAAGACTCGATGTAAGCAATACTAACGTACCATATTAAATGTCAGCTAATTACAAGTCAAGCTGAACTGAGCTTAATCATAAATATTACCAAATTTATACTAAAAAGCAAAATTACAAACATTTTTGGGTGCTTGGAGAATTCTGAAATTCAGTAGTGTCAAGCAAAATGTTTATCTTTTGCAAGGTATTAAATTCTTGTTATTTATTTTAAAATCTTGAATCTCTGCAGAAACTCTCAAACATGTGGATTTAACCTAAAAACAAATTTCTATTTAGATATATAAAAACTACTGTTAAGATTTTTAAAAAATATTCAATATAGGTATCTACAACAAGAGTTTATACTGAAGACCACAGTAAGCAATATTTTATACTATCTCATAACAATGCATGTCATTAAACACATTATATGTGTTATAATTATATATACATATATACATATAAGACACATATTTATAATGTGTTTAACATACATACACGCACACACATATATATACACACACACATTTTATATTTATACATATATAACATATATAAAGGGGAAAACCTAACTTCTGGCTTAATCTGTATTGCTGTATTTCTTTTCTTTTTTTAAGCTTATTTATTTTGAGAGAGAGAAAGAGAGAGAGAGAGAGAGGGAGCAGGGGAGGGGCAGAAAGAGAGGGAAAGAATCCCAAGCAGGCTCTGTTCTGTCAGCACAGAGCCCAATGAGGGGCTCAATCTCGTGAACCATGAAATCAAGACCTGAGACAAAGTCAAGCGTCGGACACTTAACCAACTGAGCCACCCAGGCACCCCTGTAATGTTGTATTTTTTAAAGTATGATAAAAGCAGTGGGTAAATCATGTCAAATAATTTTATTCTGTGAATATGCAAAAAGTTGTAAGACAGGAAAGAGACAATGTACTATTTTCCCTCTTGCATGTCAAAGAAACACTCAGGGACGTTAACAGGACTAACTAGAGAAAGTTTACAGATAATTCATTTTGTAAAATTAGTACATTAAAAAAAATAGCAAACCACTGAGTACTTTTTGTCATTATATTGTTTAAAATATTTTACATAATATCTTTAACTAAAACTGCAAACTGCCAGTATTACTTGAACTTTAGAAACTAATGCTGAAGATATAACCATAATTTGATTTCAAGAGGTGGAATGGAAGCTTTACAAAAAGAAACACAAATTTCGTCTGAAACTCTAGTTAATTCTAATAGTACTATTATAGATTGTATCTGAAGCCACGTGCTATTGCTTTAACATTATCATTCCATTTAAGGTGTTATCTCTAATTTTATTCTTTTCAAAGCTCTAGCATATCAGAAATTTCATTCATCAATTGCTTTCTTGCATGGCTATATCCATTTCACTATATGCAAAGGTTTTATATAAGCTTGCAAATTAGAAATTACAGCCATGCAACTGAAATGATGCATTTAGAAACATAAATATTCCTTTCAATCCTGTGTAGAGAACACTGTCAGCTTTTTCTTTCAATTTCTTCTAATTCTGTTACTCCTATTTCCTACATTTTCATCTCACCTTGTGACTATTAATACCCACTTAAGTTATGCATCTATTTTTATTTTCTAATAAGGTATCATTAGATATATGAAAAAAAAGGGGGGGGGACAATTTGATGCATTTGCTAATTTTCAGGGAATAAATACTCCCCCGTAGCTCATTTCAAGCTACCGTGGTTTAAAAACTGACCTGAAAATTCCTGATTTTTAACAATCACCTTTGTATACAAGTACAAGATGGCTCCATATCACTATTTATATCTATAATCTACATATCAATATTAATTTATGTAGCAATAATATAATAAAATATTAACATTTGGGAAATCTGGGTGAAGAAAAGCTAGATAAATCTGTACTACTCTTGCAACTTTTAAGTCTGAAATTTTAATTAGTGCCAAATTAAACAGTATTTAAAAAATTAACACCAGGTAGACTGCAGATCTGAATGTAAAAGGTAAAACAAAAAAGCTTCTAAAAGATAATACACAAGAATATCTTCATAACCATAAGACAGAGAAAGATTTTTTAAACACAGTACATATTAGATTTCTTAAATCATAAAAAAAGAATGATATATTGAACTTCATTGAACAATTAAGAACTACTATTCTTTAAGAAATATCTTTAAGTGAAGGGCAAGCGACAGACTGAGAGAAGCTACTTACAACATATATAACTGAAAGAGAGCACATATTTAGCATTTATACAGGCCCCCTACAAATTGATTTTAAAAAAAAATGCCAAGAGACTTGAATACACCCTTTACAAAAGTGGAAATTCAAGAGGCCAATAAACATATAAAAAGATTCTCAAATTCATTAGCTACTAGGAAAAAGCTAATTAAAAATCATAATGAGGGGCGCCTGGGTGGCGCAGTCGGTTAAGCGTCCGACTTCAGCCAGGTCACGATCTCGCGGTCCGGGAGTTCGAGCCCCGCATCGGGCTCTGGGCTGATGGCTCAGAGCCTGGAGCCTGTTTCCGATTCTGTGTCTCCCTCTCTCTCTGCTCCTCCCCCGTTCATGCTGTCTCTCTCTGTCCCAAAAATAAATAAACGTTGAAAAAAAAAATTAAAAAAAAAATCATAATGAAATGCCATCATATACTCACTAGGATGATAAAAATGAAAAAGACTGACAACATCAAGTATCAGCGAGACTATGGAACAACTGTCATACTCATATGTAATGGGAGTTGAAATTCATAAAATCACTTTGGAAAACACTTTGACATTATTTACTAAAGTTGAACATATAAATATTCTATGATCCAGTTATGATCTGGTTATTAGACTCCTAGTCTACCAAAAAGAAATGCAAGCATATGTGCATCAAAAGATAAGTACCTGAAAGTGTATATAGCAGCACTATTCTTTCCTAACCCTAAACTGTAAACAATTTAAAATGTCCCTGCACAGTAAATGGTACCTAATTCATCCAACAGACTACTATATAGCAATGAAAATTAATGAACCAGTGAATAGGGAACAACACACATAAATTTCACAAATACAATGTGAATGAAAAACAGAATACATACAGTGTAACTCTATTTATAGAAAGTTCAAAACAGAATAAAAACCAATCTATGTGTTAAAAGTCAGGATAGGTAATTGTCTTTGGAGAAGAAATGATGGGAACTCGGAGGGGCATGAAGGCAGTTTCCGGGGTACTCATGATAAAAACACACAGCAAACTAGGAATAGAAGGCAACTACTCAACATAAGAAAGGTGACAGACGACCTGTGTTGGAGTAGCAGTCCTGATGATAGGAGTCACCTTTGGGGTCCTGCTTCCCTTTTCTTGAAGGATAACACATGCTCACAGCCTGCTTTCATTCACTTCTGATTTCTGTTTCCTTTAGTCCCAGGAAGCAATGTTTCACTAATATAATCACATCTCTCTTCCAGGCTTCTGTTGAGATGCTAATTATAATTAGGTCCATGGTCCACACCCACACTAAAAACCTTATCAAAAGGCTAGTCAAACACAGTTTTGGTGTTCTCTTCAGAGCATACTTTCTCATTCTTTGCACTATGGATAGACTGAAAATTTTCCAAATCTTTAAGTTCTGGCTCCTTTTTTGCTTAACAAATCCTTCCTTCAGTTCATTTCTCTCCTATTTTACCACAAGCAGTGAGAAGGAATGAAGATACTTCTTCAACACTTTGCTTCAGAACATCCTCAGCTAAATAACCCACTTTTATTTATCACTGTCAATTTCTACCTTCCATAAAACATCAGAACATGAACACAACTCAGCCAAATTCTTTGCTCTTTTATAATAAGGATCACCTCTTTCCCCCCCATTATCCAATGACAATATTCCTCATTCCCATCTGAGACCTCTTCAGAATGACCTTTACCATCCATATTTCTACCAATATTTTGATTATGATTATTTATGTATTCTCTAAGAAGATGGAGGTTTTCTCTTTAGCTCTCTTCTTTGTGAGCTCTCACCAGTTGCCAGTAGCAATCTCTTAAAAGCAATCTTGGCTTTTTTCAGCATGCACTTCAAATTTTTTCCAGTCTCTACCCCTTACCCAGTTCCAAAGCCACTTCCACATTTTTAAGATACTTGTTATAGCAGCATTCCACTCACTGGTAACCATTACTGTCTTAGTCAGTTTGGGCTGCTAGATCAAAATACCACAGACTAGGTGGCTTAAACAACATATATTGATTTCTCACAGTTCTAGAGGCTGGCAAGTCCAAGATCAG